GCACCTCGTAAAAAAGTAATCCACGAGGTCGATGTCTTTCAAATTACCACAATGTCCTTTAAATTATTACATTTGTTGTGTTGCAACGAATATTTTGGTAAACTAAATGTAAGTAATGTTAAGCAAAACGTTAAAGACCTAGAAAACATAGTGATAATCTTACTAACATTACAGATGCGAAAGTTTAGATGGCTGCATGGATGTTTGTTAGAGTTTGTACTCTAAACCGTTGAACGGATCTCGTTGAAATTTTGCATAGATCTAAAGGATAGTCTGGAAGAACACATGGGCTCCTTGCTTTATTTTTTAATCCCACACGGACGGTGTCGCGGGCGAAAGCTAGTAATATATAATTTTGATCGAAGACGTCAGGAAATTTGAATCTTTAAATTTTGATGGGTTTCGTTAGAGCATGTATAACCTAAAATCTATACTATCTATCTATATCCAGACTTTTTTACTTTTACACTAATGTGTTTTTTACTTTTACACTAGTAAAGCGTAAATACACACTACTTGTGACGTCAGCAATCTCAGTATATTTATGAACAACGAGCTGTCGCCCGCGACTTCGTCCGCGTGGTATTAGAAAACATACGAATTCTATAAAATTACAAAAAACTACGTATCCCTCGGGAACCGGACATATCTCGGGGATGAAGCTTATTCCATGTGCATTCCAGACTTTGTTTTATATCTGTGCAAATTTCAATAAGATATGTTGAACCGTTGCAGAATGATCAAGTAAACATTAAAAAACTAAATTAATGAATCCCACGGGAACAGTAACTATTCCCGGGATAAAAAGTAGCCTATGTGTTCTTCCCGACTATGCTCTAAACCTGTGCCAAATTTCATGGAGATCCGTTCAGACGTTTAGGCTACAAACGCTAACAAACATCCATCCATCCATCCTACCATCCATCCATCTAAACTATCGCATTTATAATATTAGTAAGATTATTTCTTTAATAAAAAGGTCCTAGATACTCGCTTTAGGCTATATATTTTTACGCATTTAAACTTACAGGGTAAATAAATTGGATAAAAACTGTCATGTGGGAAAAGGACCATACCACAAGCTGCCAACATTAAGAAGCAGTTATTATGGCAACGGTAATTTTGACATTTGCAATTTAGGATTTGACAAATGTAAACAATAAAATAAAGTGTTAATTGAATGCGGTTGAAGCCGCACAGAAACAGCTAGTAATTAACAAAAAAAATTAATAAGCAAAGTAATATTACTAACCTTAAGAAGTTGCGTATAATTAGTATCATCGAAAGGCAGACGTCCATAGACAATAGCGTAGAGAACAACTCCCATACTCCAGATATCAGAGTCCTGAGGTCTATATGGAACTCCTTTGAGTATCTCAGGGGAGGCGTAAGCATAACTGCCGCAGAAGGTTTCGCTTAATGCATACACTCCATTCTTCGGCTTCATGTGACCTCGCGCAAAACCAAAGTCTGACAATTTTATATTCAGGCCATGATCCATTAGTAGATTTTCACACTTTATGTCCCTGTTAGAAAAATATTGATAACCAGACAATTGATTTTTGAACCATTTTAAGGACAGACATTAAGTGGGAGCAATTCCGCATTTCGTCTGGTGAGTGTAGTGCCGGAGGCCTTGTTTTAGTCCCTTTTCCTTTACGCCCTTTTCTTGAGAAGATAGGATAGAAAAGAAAAGAGATTTTGACGCATAGTAAGGGAAATATTCTGTTTCCGTCGATTAGGGTTAGGTAACGCATCTGCAATTGCAGATGTTTATGGGCAGCGGTCGCTTCGCTATTCAGCGGATTCAGGTGACCGCTTGGTCGTTTGCCATCTTATAATATAAAAAAAGACACGCCGACTCTAAATTCGCAACTTAAATACTAGTTTGTACTTGCGATATTCTCAATTTAATTAGATACAGACCGATGAACAACACCTCTGTCGTGGCAGTAGTCTACTGCTTCTACGAGTTGACGGAACCAGCGTCGGCCGCGGACTTCGTCGATGTGCTGGTCCTTACGTATGATGTCCAGCAGACTTCCGTTCTCAGCGTACTCCATTACAATATACACTCTGTATACACCAAGATGAGACAGTTATTGTCTATGCTTCTTAAACGTTATGGCAAAGACAATTAAAAGCACAACTCACGTATTTTGTTTCATTACCTAGTACTTTAAGCAAATAAATCAGCACGATTATAAGAACAATTAACTAAGCCATTAGACGTTGATTAAAGAGTTATATTTTAGTCTACAAGTTTAATTCTTGTAGCTTTTGTCCTAAATAAGAAATAAATTAATCGTAAATTGGCTTGGTAAAATGGTAAGGTAAAGTTTTCTAGGTGTACTTAGTACTAAGTCGAGTACGCAATACCACAGCGACTTCTATTATTACGTTTGTAAAGAATAAAAGTTCTCAACCTGTGAGTGGTTTCGATTGCTTGTAGGAAACGTATTAAATTTTCATGCTTTAAGCCTTTCACAACTTCTATTTCCCTTGGCAGAAACTTTTTCAGGTAGTCGCCGGGTGCTTGGAACTTGCTTATTATTTTTATTGCTACTTGGCAATTGTGTCTGTCGCTGGATGCTACCTGTGGTATCAACAAATTGTTTGCTTTACAATAATTTTAGTTCTTTATCAGTTATCTATAAGAACATGAAATTTTGAATTCGACTCGAAAGCGTTCATGAACGTTATATACATTAATTACAATTTTCATTGATTTAAACGGATCCTATTTTTGCTGCTTCTTATTTCTGATAAACAACAGTACCCTGGTATGCCACATTGGTATTTCGTAAAAGTGTGTTACTTCCCTGATCGTGTCGACCCGTTTTACAAAATTAGTCCGAGCATGGCTCTTAATTCTAATAGGATATTGTCGTCTGCATCTATTTCTACTTCGAAAGCACGCGATCGGCCATCGCCATGGGTATGCGGGAATTAAAATTACAATCTAATACATACTGCGAAACTTTAAAGTTATTGGAAATTTAACAGAGATTACTGGCACATTATCTATTTATCATTACTTTTCTGGTATATTATTATTATTGGAATTATTATGCTGTGCAGTATACGACTTCTAACGGTAATCAGCTGTGAGGTAAATTTAAAATGCGTAAATGTCAGAAGATACAAACGAGACGGTTACCTTTACTGTTGCATACGATCCAGAACCTATGGTTCTTCCTAACACATATCCGTGAGTTTCTAATACTGTTAACTTTCTGTCAGCTTTGGCCTCGACCCCACTATGTACGGTCGCCGTAGGCTCTGTAGACATCTCGCCCAGTACATTTTTATCCGTTCTAACATCGGGCCCTGGCATATCACAGAAGTAATTTTATAAGTTTTGATAAACCTTTCTTGCAGTCACATTATATATAATTTAGCCACATAATATTTATTTTTCATGTATTTTTTTTCCAAAACAGATTCATGATGACGTTTTTTTCTTAAAAGGTGTTATTATGATTGACGTGACCATATTTTTCTAATTATTTGGGCTTACGATTTCAGATACAAAAGTAAACGGGCAGTATTAGAAATATGCCATATTTATAAAAGGAGTATAGAGTTAATCATTACCGCCGAGAATTCAGAATGCCTAGGTCTGAGTCTTACGAGAGTCTCTAGAATTTCATTAGTAAAGCATATCTTTTCGGATCTTTTGATGGATAAGACATTATAGTTTAATTTACATAAGAATTAAATTTAAAGTACATTAATTCATGTTTTCATAAGATAAATTCTATGTCAAATTTTTTTTCAAAGAAACCAGTAATTATACATTATTCTACAAATAATTTAGGAAATAAATGTAAAGTTGGTTTAATCTTTAAGTAATTATCCGTAAAATGAATCGTAGCTCTGTACCAGTTGACAGCTGTCAAAGTGGGAAGCCAAAGTCAATATGGTGGCATAACAAAAACAAAAATATATATTTGAAATTTAATAACAGAAAAGTTATTTTATCATTGTTGTTAATTTTTCTAAATTTAAATATACAATTGTTAATATATTCTACGATAATTACGGTTCCTTCCGTGAACATTCAGCTACAATTTTGTGTCTTAACTCTAGTGTGCAAGTGCTATAAGAATTCTTAGTTGTGAACTCATAAACATAACAGTGGCCCGGAAAAATATTAAAAGTATGTAATTCGTGGTGGGCATGTTCTAGTCTTGTTAATTTTTTTTACTTATTTTACGTTTATGCATGAGCATTTATTATAACTTCCGAGCTTCATTTAGTTCATTATTTTTAATTTAATTGCATGAATCATTTTATTGTATTACATTTTAAATAATAATAAGTAAGCAGTTAATGGTATAAAATACAAGAGAATGTACTTTGAGGCTCCGGTTATTTTCATAATTAAAAGTGTATCATTCCATCTCTCAATCTGTAATAACTGTGTTTTATGATTATGTAGATATTAAAAATTTTAAAGTAACAATAACTTATTTATATTGACAATTGATTGTTTTGAATAGATCAAAATTAAATGTCACTGTTCAAATTCTACTGACTAACCTCCAGTTTCTCAAATATCTATCAATTTAAATTAATATTAATAACTTTAAAAAGATGATTGTTTAATTTAATAATTTGAATATCAAGAAAAATGCATAAAATGTAACTTATAGATCATTGACTATGCAATAAATTCTTGTTATAAAGTATTTAACATTTGTTATTGATGTTATATTGTGTGCATTTCCATTTAGACATTATCATATTTTTCTAAATTTGACTAATTAAAATGTCTACATGGGGAAAAACATATTGTTGAAGTAACAAAGTTTAAATCATTTTAGATATGTATTTAATGATTCTGCGGAAAGGAATGACAATTTTTTAGACTCATCGAGGATTTTAACTTCGATTTTGTACATAGGAAATACATAACATATTGGTTTTATAATTTTCTAATAGATAGTGTTAGAAATATAATAAAAGTTCTATAAGTTTGCCATTATAAGACATTTTAGAAAAAAATGTAATTACTGTGCCCTAGCATCCATACTATTATTATAAATGCGAAAGTAGATGAATGTATGGTTGTTTGTTAGAGTTTGTAGATTTAACGGCTGAACAGATCTCGATGAAATTTGGCATAGATGTAGAGGATAGTCTGGAAGAACACATAAGCCACTCACTTTTGTTTTTTTTATTCAACGAGGGCGGAGTCGCGGGCGAAAGCTGGTAATGAATAATAGTTTCTTAGTAAATCCCAAAACTACAAACAAACACACAAGATAGGATAGGCCTCTCTTCTCTTGTCCTGGTTGGAATTTTTCTAAAAAAACATGCTAGTTTTATAAAAAAAAACATAATTTGTCCTTTACTTACACCAAAAATCATTTATTGTGTACGAATGTTAAACACATCGCAAACAGACAATGTCGATGTTTCATGTTAGCCAACTTAAGTCGGCTGTTATATCCAGTCCCTCGTAAATAATGCCGAGCAGAACTTGCGCACTGCACCAAACATACGCACGTGTGATCTCTGCACTATAATTTTCAAATTTACGTTCGATCAAATGAACGGTACGTTGGAAAAAAAAATTACTATTATCAAGATAGGTAAAAGGTTGTCAACATCAGATTTCCGTTATATACCTTACTAGCTGTTGCTCTCAACTTAGCAGATAAATTACCTTTTAAACGGTGAAAGAATTTTAAAAATCGGCCTAGTAGTTTTTGAGTTATTTCAATACATACAAAAATACAAATCTTTCCTCTTTATAATATTAGTGTAGATATCAGAATGTCAAATATCTTAGAGTTCAGAGAACGTGCTCTATATTTTTGATTTAAAGTCAAAAAGCTCAATTTGCATATTACGTTACAAATCTCTACTAGATGCATAGATGAAAGACTGTTTAATTTGAATTCGTAAAACATCTTTTTGAGCTACATATGTTTCGGTTTGAAATCTCGGAATATACGAAACCAATTAATTCAAAGAGCTTCCGAGAGTTTCATTCGTTTTGTCGAAAAATGATTTTAGTATAAAATACAGTATTAATTCGCCAACAAATAACAGCGGAAAGGCTCAACTTTTCATTTTGGTTGCGCAGCAAAGGGTCGTGTGGCCGGCGGGTCGGCGAACCAGCGCCAGTGAATAATGTCTGCACAAACTTGCGCACTGCACCAAAACGCATCCTACGTGTCTGCCGAGCCGAGTTACAATACCCAACAACTTACAAATTTATTTTCCTACTCTCTTGTTAACAGAAGTAAATGACGTGGTCATTTAGCCCTAAAGTATTGCTTTCAAATGTTTATCGACGCTTACTGCACAAGATGTGATCCCCATTCATCCGTTTAACAAGCAAACAACTTATTTGCAAATATTAATGTCTACGGGCAACGTTGCTTCGCTATTATGGCGAATATTGGTGATTGACACTCATCATCATCTCCTTATCCTCCCGTAGGGTCGGTGCAACAGGTTTTTGTCTCCACATAACTCTATTATACGTCATCTCAGTCATCACTCCCTTTATCGTCGCCTTTCATGCTATCCATCCATCTCTTTCTAGCTCTACCTCTACCGGTGTACCTTCACGCTCATAACATGCCCAATATTATAAAAAAGGATACTAACGCTAAATTAGCTATACAAACTTTCATCACTATGTTTACGATTAAACATTTAATATAACATTAAAATCTTGCTAATTTTGAAAATATTGACTGGGAATAAATCATGTATAAAAAAATGCAAATTTGTTCAACAACAAGCCAGGGGAGAGAAACTTTTATGCGGTCGGTAAACGTTGCTCTGAGGCGTCACATCAAATAAACAAGAATTATCTCTGACGCTGACGTGGAATGCATTGCTCATTTCATTACTTTTCACTCTCACGGTAAAAATGAAAACAGGTCGTAACGTTTCTAGTAAAGGAATGGCGTTGATTGTTTAAGAAAGTAAATATT